TCCCTCCCCGCTCCCCCCTCCCCCCCCCCCCTGGCCATCCTGCTTCCCCCCAAGACGTGGCTTCCTAGTGTCACTGCATCCCCACCCTCACTCCCTCCCCCCGTGTCTCCCAGTGCTACCCTCCCCCACCCTCGCACCCACCGGGAGGACTCGTGGGTGGGTTTGCAGCGTCCCCGCGGGTCCCTCTCCCAGATGCTGTTGGCAGTGACGTTGCCAATGGCGGCCAAGACCAAGGTCAGTTCCCGGGGCCAATCGTCCAGGTCCAGGGACCGGACGCGGGACAAGTGGGTCCCCAGGTTGCGGTGGATCCCAGAGCACTCAATGCAGATCAGGGCCCCCAGGTTCAGGCTGGCCCAGGTGGGGTCTGGAGGGGACACAAGGGAACAGTTGTCACTCCACCAGGTGGCCCCCCCATGGCCTGAGTACTGCACAGGGTGGTGTCACCAGTGGGCTGGGGGGTGGAACAGGGGGTGTGAGGTTATGGGGACACAGGGGGACAGGGGGCAGGTGGCAGTGAGGGACAGATGGGGCTCCCCCCTCCCTGGTCCATGGCACTTTGTGCCCAACATCATGTGTGTCCCAGCTCATGCCCCCTCCACCCCTGTCCCCCCTGTGTGACTCAAGGTCCCCCTGCCCCATGCCCCTTATGGCCCATTGCCTCTCCATGCCCCCTCCCCCCCCCCCCCGGTCCCCCCCTCCCCTTCCCCCACCCCAGGGCTCCTCAATGCCCCTCCTGTCCCCCTCCCATTCACTTCCCCCCCTGCCCCATGACCCTCCCATTGCCCAGCCTGGCCCTGTGTGACCCGTCTCCCCCACACCCCATGCACTCACTGGCTGCCCCACAGTCCACGCAGTGGGAGTTGCCCTGGGCGCTGCGGATGGCCTGGATGGCCACAGCCTCACTCTTCCCGTCTGTGCGAGCCTGGGGGAACAGGAGGGTGAGCAGGGCTGGGGACAGGGACACAGTGTCATCACACCCCCCCCAAGCAGGTCCCACCTTGTTCCTGCTGCTCTCACAGCACTGCAGGCTGGCCAGGATCTGGCTTTCGATGGCCTGGACCCAGGCATCCCGCTCCTCGAAGCTGGTGGCCTCAAAGTGCCATGTCTGCCCCGTGCTGGACACGATGAGGAACTCAAAGTTCTCCTCCTCTGTGGGACCAGAGACCCCTCAGGGAGGGTGGTGGGACATGGGTGTCCACACACATGAGGGTGTCAGCCCTGTACAACCACCCACGCACAACCACAGTGGTCCCCACCTGGTCACCAGGGTCATTGTGGCCTCTGGGATCACCAGGGTTATCAGAGTCATTGTGGCCTCCAGGGTCACCAGGGCCACCAAAGGGCCACCATGTCACTGGGCTCTCCAGGGCCACCAGGTTCATTATGACCTCTGGATCATTAAGGGCCACTAGGTCTCTGAGCTCACAAGGGGCTACCAGGGCCACCAAGGGTCACCAGGTCCCTGGGCTCACCCATCTCTTCCCAGAGGAGGGGTCAGGGGTGTGATGGCAGCAGGCAGGAGGGGACAGGGCCACATGCAGGAAGGGACAAGGCCACATGCAGGAGGGGACAGGGGGGACAGGCCCCGCGCCCCGCGCCACGTTACCTGTTTTATAAATATTTCTCAAACTACCAAAACTTTTTAATTTCCACATTTTGTGTGTGGCTGCAGCGAGAGCAGAGAGAGCAGAGGGGG